AAAGATTCATATTATGAAAAATTGCTACAAGGAAAGAAGAAAAGAATGATAATTTTCAGAATCAAAAATAAAACTTTATGGTTGTCTGTGCTATACATTTTATGATGGAAATTTTTGAATGYGATAGATCAAAGAGTTTTCAAACGTTCTGGAAAATAACATGCACCACCCAGGCAACTTATTTTTAAGATATATGGAAAAACAAAATAATTTGCATTACACTATAATATTGATATAGAAATGACCCACGAGTCACTCATTTGATTTCATGCTGTACAGCCTGATAAGATTTTGTAAGATTAGGAACAGCACTTTCACAACACATGACATCAGAAATCATGCAAATCCCCACTGAAGTCTCACAGTATCATTCTGAGATTATCTGACTGCTAAATATTTAAGTTGCCATATAATTAAGAAGGTGTGGTATATATAATTACTTGGAAATAGCTAGTTTGTTGACAGTATTTTTAATAGTTCTTTTCCTTATTAAGAAACAAATATGCCACCAACCTCTTAATAGAAAGATCACAAGATATTCCTATTTATTCTTTCAATGCTTGTACAATAATGGGGCCAAATCTATTTTTGAGTTTTAATGATGAATCAGCAGCTATTTTTAGAGCAATTAGGTTTAAAACAAACAAAAGCATCCTGCATTTAATGTTCTGACTTTACACTAAGAAATTCAGTAGCCATTTCCTAGCATGTACATATAGTTTCAATGGTAAAATAAAGGAAAATGTTTGTGTTTGATTTACAATTGGATTTAAGTTCTTTTCCTTGCTGTTCTGTAGAATTATAACAAGAGCTATTTAGACATCAGGAATTCATTTCTACAACCTTCCTCAGACTGATCACCACGCAGCTCATCAATAATACATCAAAAAGAAAACTATACATTCAGAGTGGAAAAAGCTATTTTTATAGTAATACATATTAAATAATCAGTGATTCTTACCTCAAAGTGTGTCTGTTGTCAGGCATTCACTGAAATGTCTCAAACGGTTACTCTTGCTTTGTCTACAGACCAGAGAAATAGTAGTTTAAAAGAGTAGCAACCAGGCAATGTGACATGAGAACTGGGACAAGATTCAGTGTCTTTCCAAGTAAAAACGATTCTTCCTGCTATTTTAGCTAATCCAGCATCAGCCCAGCTTCACTCTTTTAAAAAGGGTTAGATTCAAAAAGGAACTGAGTCACTGAGTCATATATTGCTGTAATAACTAGCCTTAATGTAGTCAGTGCCCAAAATAGAATCCAAAAATTTGTACTAGAAACTTGGGTTTCTGAAACAGACAAACAAGTTTAGTCAAGCTGTTGTTAAATACAGTTAAGAATGAAAAGAGACTGCAAAAGTCAGTTTTAAAAGAAGCAATATGTTAAGCAAAGAAGTACATAGAACTTCGCTGATTAAAAAAGAGAAATGTGTCTCAAATGAGATTCTGTTTAACTGTAGGGATTGTATTTGGAGGTGACTTTCCAGCACGCCAAAGCCCTCTCCTTTTCCTAAACCAACATCTCTTTTTTTTAGAAGGGGATATGGACAAATGGGYGGCTGTGTGAAGAGGAGGAAACTGGGACAGCCTGTTGATTCTAGCTGAATGCTCTAGCCAGGCTTCCTTACAAAAAAGAGGCAAGAATTACTTCTCTATGTTTAAAAACACTCAATATCCCTTTACTTTTGCAGAGCCCAAACACATAAAAACCACAGTTTTAATTAATTTAAAAATCCAGGTACCAACTGCATGAAGCCATTAAAAAGAAAAGAGAGCTGGTGTTTGGTCCTCCCTTGTGCTTCAGTGTGAGGTTGGGAACAGACTGGCCAGCGAAGTTAGAACTGGGATAATCTACACAAAAAAAAAACCCACAAAGGTATAGAGTCCAGGGAAAACATGACAAATCTAGAGGACATTCACAGCTCCCAGATGTCTCACATACAAAATAGACAAAAGAGAATCTRCAGGAGACTAGGTCTGGACTTGTCTAGTAGTATCTAAGCCAAACGTTTCTCCTCTTTGGAAGTCTGTTACCATTTCCTAATCAAATMTTTCCACAAATTACAGAACCTAATAGTATAAAGCAACCTTTATTTTGAAAACTAGCAGATGTTTCAAGAGCCTAGTAAAGGACTGAGTGTTTTATTTAAAAAAGACTAAACAASCAACACAATAATCAAACAGGAAATTAGAATCCAGTCAACTGGATTAAATTTCCTTGATGAATTCAAAATATTATTAGATACCTGAAAACAACAAAGTGATGGATAAAAATAAATATGATTTGTTCATGACAGTCTATCAAACCAACTTAGTCTTTTATGTCTGGTTCTACAGACATAAATAAACTGAAGATCTTCACTTCAGCAAGGCTTTTCCGTTTAATTGACATTTTCATAAGAAAGATAAGGAAATTTCATCTAGACAGAAAATCCACTCATTTGATGCAAAACTGGTTGTACTTAGAGGATCGCTATTAACAGTTTAATATCAAATTTCACAAATAYTGAATTTACATCAAACAAAATTCCTTGTACACTCCTATACTGTAATATTTTTGCGTAGAGGCTTAGAGACCATGCTTATAAACCTGGAGCTGGGAGGTACTGCAAAGAGGAGAAATAAGAGTTTGAAATCATTGTAACAGGGGAAGATGATTCTACAAACACAAGCACAAAGTTCTGCCCTTAGCAAAAAAMCAGGAGCACAGAGAAGAGTAATTATTGTAATAAACTTGCAGAAAAGAAACCAGTAGGCAGTGGATCACATGAACACATCAAGAAGTTCATGAGGTTGGAAAAGRCACCTACTCTACTGAGATGCATAATCAAAAGAGTTACAACCAAGGTAACTTTGTGGAGCTGTGAAAAGATTGAATGAGAGCTAGAGGGGTACAATAACAAAAGGTCGTGTGTTTCAGAACTGATTAAAAGAAATAATCCATGCTTTTAATAAAAAAAAAAAAAGAAAGAGAAAGACTGAACAAAAATATGGTAACARTCATAATTTATGTAAAAGAGTGCTGCAAAAAGAAAGGCAACATTGCCCATATTCACTTGAAATAAATCATCTAAACTGCAGCTAAAAGTATTTAATCCAGACATTCAAAAAAAGGAGAATTTAAGATTAGACTAGATTGCCTGAGGAATGAATAGAACCTGTGTTTAAGGCTTTAAGAACAGGTTATGGAAACATCCTTTGAGGTCGTTTTCTTAATAGTTTATTGTGCCTTGAGACAGGAAGATGACTAAGAATCCAGGTAAGGTAACTTGGCTCTTTTGGTTGTGTTTTATTTGGGAAGGGGAGGTGTTAAGTATAAAGCTTTAACATCTACATGACATCAACCAACAAGAACTGAGGTTCAGGGATCCSTAAAAGAAATCCTTAAAAACCAGTGCAAGAGCTGTATTTGTTATTCCTCTCATCTTCTTTCCAGAAATTTGACACACGAAATTTGCCTTCACTTATACTGAAACCACCCAGTTGGTTTTGTGTATATTTGTACAACAGTTCACCACAGTAAACCTGAAAGCCCTGACTAAAATTTTCTTGCACAGCTGAATTCAAGGTTATATGAAAATAAAATATGTCTTCCTCATGCACTCASGAAAATGTTTCTGTAGTCTAAAGCTAAGCTAGAGTTTCTCTATTAACCTCGAAGTCAATCCTATTGTCTTTGATGTTAATACAAATGTTGTCACAAAAGACAGCATCATCCAAAATATATATTCTTATTTAACATTATTATTTTTATGAAAATCTTGGTATAAACTGCAACAGCAGAATTACGTAGCTAAGACATACATGCAGTTATCAGTCCAAARTGTGTTTTAAAACTTCTGTGCATGTCTAGCTTTTAAACACATAGATTTTACCCTTTGTTAACTAATAACTACTTAATCATGTTTTTACTTCAGATAATTTTGAAATGCACTTCCGAGTGCACTTTGAAAAGAAAAAAAGAGAATGATGTAACAAATCTTTTAGGATTCASAACTTAATTTGCAAAAAAGGTCCACCAAGTATGTCTTAAATAAACAATTTTTAACTATATGTAATTTCTGAATGAAGAGACAGGACAGTTGTAACTTCAATTAATTTATATGTCCTTAAATTTAGAGATTCTGCCTCATTTGAAAATTTACTAGGAGCTGTGGTATCTATTATTGGTAAAATAACATCAAGCGTTCCCTACAGTAAATGAATTAAATGGAACTAAGAGGTAWCATCTTCCATTGTCTGGTACAAATACAGCCTAATAAATCGTAAGAAGAGGTACTTTGGTAACAATTTAAAACATTAGTATTGTACTTTTGGAATACTTCCAATAAAAAACTGTTACACAAACAGATCAACTGTTCATTTCCTAAACTCTGTCAGTGGCCAGAACACGCAAGAATCACAGAAGTAGTTAAGTCGGAAAAGACCTCTGAGAWCATCGAGTCCAGCCTATGGCCGAGAACCATGATGTCAGCTAGGCCACGGCACCAAGTACCACATGCGGTCTTTCCTCAAACACCTTCAGGGACGTTGACTTCACCACCTCCCTGATCAGCCCGTTCCACTGTCTAATCACCTTTTCTGTGAAGGAATTCTTCCTAATGTCAAACCTAAACCAYCCCTGGCGCAGCGTGGGGCCACGTYTTCTCGTCCTGTCACTGCTCCCTGGGAGAAAAGACCAACCCTGGCTGCACCCTCCCGTCAGGGAATTGTAGAGAGTGATAAGGTCACCCCTGAGCCTCGTCTTCTCCAGGATGAGGCCCCCAAGCTCCCTCAGCGGCTCCTCACAGGACAGGTTCTCCAGACCCCTCCCTAGCTCCGCTGCGGTTCCCGAGCCCCGGGATTAGCCCAGCGAGCCGGCGGTGCCGGGACACGGCAGAGCCCGCTCCCCTCACGCTCGGGGYGGGCGCGGGGCGGGGCGGGCGCTCCGGGCCAGGTGAACCGCTCCGCGCCTGCGCACAGCCGCGTGCCGGCCGCGCTCCATCCGGGCACCGCGCTCATTGTGCGCGCGGCCGCCGCGCTCGCCCGCCTGTCTAAAATGGCCGCCGCCGCCTCTGCTCCTGCCGCCGCCGCTGCGGGGGCTCCCGCGGCTCCCGCCGCGCACGCGGCGCCGCCCACCGAGAGCAAGAGGATCAGCGACCTGCGTGTCATCGACCTCAAGTCGGAGCTGAAGCGGCGCAACCTGGACATCACCGGCGTGAAGACAGTGCTCATCGCCCGTCTCAAGCAGGTGAGCGACGGGCGCAGGCCCGAACCGGCCCGCCCCGGCGGCCGCCGCCGCTGCTGCCACTGCCGGGGGCGGGGCGCCGGCGGCCCCGCCGCTGTCCCGGTGTGGAGGGCGGGACGTGTCCCCGCCGTGTCGCCGGTGCCCGGGCGAGGGTCCGCCCCACCGAGCCGCCGGCGCTGTGTGGCCGCTGTGGGTCGGGCTGGGCGCGGTGTCCCGGCCGGCGGAGCTCCCCGCCCCGGCTGGCAGTGCTCGCCCCGCGGCCTTGCGGCCCGCCCGCCGCCCTGGGCGCCGGAGCTCGTGGGGCGGGCCCTGGGGCAGGTTGTTGCTGAGGGGTGTCTGTGCTTCCCGCTGTCCTGTTTTTGAGCTGTCCTTAATGCCATTATGGACGTCGCTGTGGCCTTCTAGTGCTACATTTCCGAAGAGAAACGTGCGGATCCTTGATAAGCTGTATTTCCAAAGTGTCGTTTTAACAGCTGAAACTCTCAGACATTATCATTAGCATTCCCTTGCTCTCCTCCAGCATTAAGTGAAAGGTTTACCCAAAGGTTTTACGAAATATTTTTGAGCTGCTAAAATAACTGTTTGATTTATGGACTTCTGCATAAGTCAAAGTGCCCAGCTTTCCACTGAAAGCCATTAAAAATTAAATTTTTTTGTCCCATTTAGGCTATTGAAGAGGAAGGAGGTGATCCTGATAATATTGAAATAAGTGTTTCAGCTGACACACCCACCAAGAAACCAGCTAAAGGCAAAGGTTAGGATCTATTAATGTACTGTATATTCTTATGCAGTTTCTTTATGCATGTATCACCTTAAAAAAGGACTGTGGGACTGYGGTCTGCAGTTTGGGTGACTTTACTGTTTTTATGACTTCTGTCATATAAAGACATCCTTTGCCTTGTATGTCTGTTTTCACTCACTGTCTGTAGACAATGTATGGGGGTGCTGGAGCAGTATACATATAGAGTTATAGATAAATGGGAAATGACTGGATTGAGAGATGTGTGTTATGAGGTTGTGGCTGTACTGCCTCAAGCTCCTGGAGACCTGTGCTGTGTGTGCTGAGGTGCTGTAGATGAGCCATGAGGGCTTTGGAATGTGCTGTGTCCAGAGATCCTGGCTGTGGGGTGTTAGTGGTGCAGGGTGGGAGCAGGAGCTGCTGGGGGGCTCTGTGGTGTGTCTTGCATGTCCAGAAGCATCTGTGTAACCGCAGAGGCTCTTCAGCCATCAGCAGGTGCTGGCCCCAGGCTGGTGATGAGGGCACAGTCATCTGTGGTAGGGGGTCAGTCCCTGAAAACTCTGCTGTGTTGGGTGTATCAGCATGCTCTCTACTGAAGACAGGATTTATAAATATGAATGTCCTGAATGGGCACTGGAGCCTCACAATGGAATGTCTAATTAATAGATTTTAATTTTTCTGTTGTAAAAGATTAATGTTTAGATTTTGTGCCGATCTGTTTGGCAGTGATTTTTTTTTTTTTTTTTTTTTTTTGCTCTGTTTTCTTTTGCCTGAGAATTTAAATCCTGTTCTGTGAGTTGGAAGTCTGAGGATTTTTGTTTGGGTTTTCAGTTGTTCTGAGAGCAGCTGTAATCTACTAGTCCTGGGAAAGGACATGTTTCCTTCATGCACAGCTTTCTTCATTGAACATACACACCAAGATGCATGTGCTACAKAGGCCTGTTTTGGACATGAATGGTCTTAGACTACTGTCACTTGTCATGGGCTGAGTTTTATGATGAAAATGGTTATTCAGTCTTTTGTCTGGTGCTGTGAATGGTGAAATTAGSAACAAAATTTGTCTGCTTAGAAAGTTGGCATAACTTCTCTGTAGTTTTCACACATTAGAGAAGTGAAAGGTAATAAACTTTCAAATGTGGTTTCATTTTTTAATGACATATCTTTATTCCCTGCTTTAGATAGGTAACTGATGATGAAAATAACTACGTGGAAGCTAAATAAGGAAATTCTTCCACAATTTTTCATGTAGAGATCTAAATGGCTCCATGTTCTGCTGTGACAAACACTTACCTGCTGCTTTTTATCCTCCCAGTCTCCAAACTAATATCATGATGTGCATAATGTTCTTGAAATGGCTTCTTGGGTTGTTAGACTGTTTAGCTCCTGCAAAGGTGGTTTGCCAATGAGTGCTCCTGCTGCCTGAGGCAGGGCTTCAGTAGCCCTTCCCTGCTGCCTCTCCTATGCACCAGATCCTAATGCATGCATATGACATGCATGGTAAACCATGACATCTTGGTAAACCTCAAAGGAAAACACGTTTGTGAAGTTCTTATCAATTCACTTTGCAAGCTCAGAAGATTTTCCTCATTATTTTTTGGATTGCAAAATTCTTAAGAGCAAATTTTGTGTCACAAGTATGAGAATTAAATGGTGTATTAATTTTCAAGTGTGGAACATGAAAAATTCCCTGTTTAGGGGAATTTTTTTTAATAATATTGGTTTATTTCTAATTGTATGAAATGATACCTTGTTTGATTCACTGTGGGACATTTTTCCTCCTTAGTGGTCTTGCTGACAAGATTGATCCAGGCCTTTTTACTAATGCTTGTTTCTCCCCCACACTACTAATACTGATGGGTCTTTAATTATTTTGCTGCTGGACAGCAATAAAATTAACAACATTACCAGTTCTGTCGAATCTTCCCCTGTGCTATTATTGCTGTGCAAAGGAGGGTAGGAGTATTAGATACTAATTTACAAAGAAAATACATCTTCAGGAAAGGCCAGGGAGTGGAAGTGTTGATTAAACCTCCTTTTAGCAGCCAGAGAGGGAGGCCAGTGGGAGGGAAGAGGTTGTCCTTCCAAAAAGTCACAAAGTGTGYCAGGTGGCTGCAGGGTTCAGATCTGAAAGACTTCTGTTTTACTGGAGCTATTAAGGTCTGTGGAAAAAGTGTCATGTCTGATTCCCAAGCATTGTCTGTTAGAAAATCTGATCTGGAATATTGATAGAGGCCAAATTAGAGTGGGAATGGGGTGTGTGKGGGGGGGAAAAATGATACATTTTTCTCTTTTTGCTACTTATTTGTGTGTTTACTGAAAAGGAGAAGAGTAGGAACAAGGCTTAAGAGTGGGACTTTATGCAAGCATTTTTTAAGTTGTATGAAATAAGGATTCTGTAATACAAGAATCCTTGATCAATACTGATGCAAMGTTACTTGAAATTTTGCACTTTTTCCAGATGCTACTTTAATTAAATAATTGGCATAAAGAACTGCAGAGCAGCTAATCAGAAGAGTTACCTAGGTAAGATTAATTGGTTTTGCCAGTTAAAGCTTGAAAGGAACAATTACCAATTGCCCCTTTTTAAGTGCCTCAGCTGTCCCTTTCCATACTAGCATTTAGTAGCTATGGATGAATTTTTCTTTTTGTAAAAAGATGACTATTTTTGGAAAAAGCTTATCTTCTCAAGCCTAATTACTCTGCTGCCTAGCCTGGTGTTTCAGGGAAGTTACCTTACTGCTAGTATGAAACATTTTTCAAAAGTTTGTAATACATATGCTCCTTTGAAGGATCTGCAGTCCAAAATGTTGTTGAAATATTTTAACTTGGTGATTGAAAGTTACTTTCCTGATGAGTTCTGGAATTAGTGTGGATGAAGAACAGTTTTTAGGCTGATCCTTTTTAACCTGGAAGAATAAATGTGAGCAAAGATGTCTATTTACTTCCCTACAAGTTTCTGAGGCCAGTTAGACACCTGTTTGTTYGTGTCTTTAATACTATTCTAGTTTGCAACTGAATTTCCAACTTGACAGTACTGTTTCTTGGCTCAAAGGCTGACAACTGACAGTGGTTGGCCTATATTATTGCCCAAATAATTTTGACTTCTTGATTAAAGCGATTTAGTTACTTAAAAATAAGAACAAAACAAAGTAAACTAAGTTGTACTCTTAGTCTTCACAGACCTTTCTTTCTAAGAACCATAATTGACTAAGAACTGTATCCTACAGACACARTAGAAGGCTTATTCTTGTTCTCCATCATACCATTTGAGAATACAGAAGTAGAACAGGATCATTTACCTCTGTTAATATTGTGGCAAATGATACTGTTCGAATTGCAGCAGGCTTCTTAATGCAGTAAAGAGTTTATTCCATTGTAAAGATTTATCTCCTTTTTACTGTCTATCCCGTGTTTTTGATGAACGTTTACAATCAGGTGTGACAGAACCCTGTTGGGAGTTTCAGCAGGAATACCAGAAGAWATACAAGCACTAATACTTCCAAGTTTTTCTGATGCATATGTTACTCTGCTTCTGCCTGAGATGTGAATGTCAATTCAAGAGTTGTCCATAATACACTCCTCTATAGTTCTGTAAACACTGAGGTAGCCTGAATTTCTCACGTGAAGGACCATGAACAGGTAGAATAGGTTATGCTACTGTAAGGCTTGTAAATTAAATGGAAGCTAAACCCGCGTAATATTAAATCATCACTTTAAAGATGTTCTAATTTTTCTACTTACTTATAAGGAGAATATTTGTTCTCTGTGTAATAGTCTGTTGCAATTTTATGCTGTGTAGCAATTGCCATTGCCAGAAAAGGGATTGAGCATGGCTTGTAAAGGAGTGCCATCATTCCAAGGTAAATGAGTGTTTGGATTGTYAGGTACCCAGATCTGTGGTGAATGCTGCACACACACTGATGTTTTCAACAGCCACTGCTTGGATAAACCAGTACAGAAATCTTATCAGGTGTTGACAACTTGTGTGACTCGAGACCAGCTATGCCTGTTGTCTGCAGAAGGTCCAGTTGTTCTGGCTCTATTTGTTAACTTACCCTTCAATCAGGTCAACACTGGTCTTGAATAAGTTCAGAAAAACAGTCATTTTCTGCAACGTGTTTGTTGCACTCTGATTTTAGTTAACGTGAATTTAAGAGCCAAGTGTGCCTTTCAGTAGCCCACTGTGGATGAGTGCTAGACAAACGTTGAATTTTTCTGGGTGCTGGCTTTTTGGCAAGTTACTGTACCAACATCTGAAAACTATTTTATTAGAACCTTGAAGTGCCACTTTTGAGCAATGTAACTCAAACCAAAGCAAAGTAACCTGAAACACAGAACTTGAGAGGGAGAGCAAACTTGCAGCACTTTCTGGCTTGAAGCTGAAAAGTGAAGGTCTTGTTCAGATCTCATTATGCCTTGGAATACCTCTGGTACTCAGAGTAAATGAGACTTGCTACAAAGACAGTAGACATAGTAAAGAAAGGCTAATAAAATCATTCCTTAATCTAGTAGCAAATAAAAGATACAAACAACTTWATTACTGAGTGCTGTAACTTCCTCTTGATGAGGACCAGTCAGTAAAATGTTATCTAGCTGCTCTTGCATAGTGGTGGGGCTAACTTGAGGTAGCTTTGTCATTGGTTTTCTTTTCCCTATAAAGTCTCAGTTCTAGTTCACCTGCCATATTTCCTCAGGCAGTGTGAATGATTTAAATAGCTTTCATCATAGTCTATGTTAGATAGTTGCTAAATAGTTGCTGATAGTATTGAGCATCTGCTGTGTGTGCTTGCCTGTCTCTGTGTATGYTTAGCTGGATATGGGATGCAGGAAAAGCTTCATCATTCAGGTTTAACAAATTAACTGAAATGTGAGAAGGCAAAACAGAAAGCAGTTGAATGTGTGTAGAAAGCCTTGCTGATCTCACTACTTTTTATTTATCTTGAAGATACCGGGGATCTGTAGCTTCTATCACAGAATGCCAAAAAGCTAACACAAAATTTGAGTTAATCTTGGTTTCAGGCATCAGCTGTGATGTGCATCAGAAACTGCCCTTTCCAGTGTAAGTCCTCTTCCTGAGAAGAGCTGGCTTCCCTTAGTCCCTTCCTATACCTGTGCAGCTGGCTTTTTGCACCAAAATCCCACAAATCTATTGCATCAAATTATAAAACAGGACTTTTTGTAGGTTTTTGGTTTTTTTTTTTTCTTGTTTTAGGTAAAGTGAGATCAGTGGCACTGACTTTAGATCTGAAAGTTTAAATCTGACAGTCACAGAAATAACTTCTTCCATGTGCCTGTTCCTGGAGATCAGTGTGTGCCTGTACTGAAAACAACAATGTGCTTTTTCTAGGACTATGGTCAGAGTGCTGCCTTTCAGGGAGATGAGTAAAACCAATTGGAATCCAAGCAAAATTAAAACAATAGTGTCTCTTTTTGCCCTGTAGTTGAGTACTTTCCAGCTTTGAAATGCAATTTAAGAACTGTATATGAAAGACCATGGAAATTAATGGCAGAAAAAATGGAGTTTTCAACTAGCAGAGATGTCCGTACTGTGTCGAACTTTGGCTTATGTTTTTCTTTTATATTCCTTTGGAATAACTGCAGAATTGATTTAGCCATTCATTAGAGGATGAAGGGATGAGGGAAGATGGGATGCCAAAAAATGAAGCATTAAGTGCTAATTATGACTGCCATCTCATTTGCATTTGAATTGACACTGAGTTTCAGTAGAAGATACAGTAAAGCYGCTTCTTAACAGAACTGCTTTTGTACCTTGTGCTACTGAAAACTTGCATAGGCTAATCTTTGATAGACTGAATCAAAGAGACAGAATGTTCTTCAGAGGGTGTGTTTGTGTGGAGATGTTTCTATCTAGTGTTTTTTGGGTCTTGTTTTTCAGAAGATTAAGGAAATGCAATGGGTTCCAAGGGGAACTGTGTCTAGTCATCATACCCACAGAGACATCTCTAATAGAGAAAATGTGCTGGTGCTGGAAGAACAGAATTYATCAGTGGAGCAGGCCCTTAATATAGTAAAGCATACATGCTTCACCTGCTCAATTCTTCTGCCTCACTTCATCCTCTAGTGATGAAAGGCACGGAAAAAGGTGCCTTGGAGAGGCTCGTAGTTGCCATGCTTGTGGATATTAAGATGCAGTTCAATAAAGCCCTGAGCCATTCCATCGTCCTTGGAACTTAAATGTAATTTTCAGCAGGAGGTTGGGTGGACTAGATGACCTTTAGAGGTTCATTCTAACCTAATTTGCCAGTKATGTTAGTTACCCTATAAAGACATTTACAAAGTCATAATGTCTCGCTAACTTCAGTAATTCTAGAAATGTTTTGTTTCTAGTTCAATGTTGTCCTGAATGCCATTATCACTCAGAATAGAAGGATTGGTATTAAAATCACTAACTTGGATGTCATCACTTGTTTATTCAACAGCATGATTTGTTCATTTTTACTGAGATGACATTTTATCTCCTTATCTTAAAAATGACTCAGTTTTTGGAGGGTTATATTATAGTGAAGAATCCAGCTAAACTAGAACCTGTAGAGAATAATAGAAGCCAAACACATAATCAGTATTGAAAGTGTGGTCTACATAGCAGGTCTAGTCACAGCATATCCCATTATTTCAGGTAAAAAGCAGGAAGCTGATGAATTGGCTGGTGATGCTTCAGTTGAAGAGGATTCCTTTGTCAAGGTAATAGAAGTATGTAAAAAAGTTTCCCATTTTGTATTTAAGGTCAATGGTTGACTTCACTCAATGGAAAAGCTTCCATTTTCTCTGTGATAATTTATGTGGAAATTTTGAGCATTGCTTTTACTGTATTCAGAGTGTGATGCCTAAGGGTGTGWAGCTGGAGGGTTTTTAAAACATGCTGGGAATTTTATTATGCATGTGTGACACTGATCCAGCAGTGAAACACGGATTCTAGAAGTGAGTTTTCCTGAATATAGTTAGTACGTTTAGTTAAACCAAATATTTGTGTTCACACCAAAAGGAAAGTGAATTGGAGACTCAAGATGCAAGTGATCAAGATGGAAACGATGAATTGAAGGACTTCAAAGAATCTGTTGAAGATGAGAACTTGAATTCTAAAGAAATACTATCTGCAGAAAAGAAAAGGTACCATGATGTGGAGCCAGCAGAGACAACAGAAGATGTGGAAAAGGATTCTGAAAGTCAGGTACTCGCTATATTTTACATTAATTTTTATCAGCAAAACATACATTTTTCTTAGTGTTTGTTATTAGGAAGTCAGAACTAGTTTTTCAGTTTGTCTGGTTTATCTTTAAAAGATAGGTTTTTTCTTTTTACTCTAAAAGGTCCTTTTTTTCTGTTTACCTTGATTTGTATTTGAATAGTCCTGAAACAGATGTGGAACAGATTGTAAGGGACTCCGGTAGAATTTTATCAGAGTTAGTTCCTACGGGGTCCTTTTCCCTTGTACTAGTAGTGACATGTCTTCCAGTTCAGTGTTGACATTATTTACATCAGGAGCACTGCTCAGTGATRTTTACATTGAGTGTCCACTTAAATGTTTTCTGAGTTAACTAGATTTCTTGTCTCCCTGAATGTTTGAATATCTTAAAARTAGTTTATTAATCAAGTCTGTTTTCTATTTCTATAGGAAAATGAAGGTCCAGATTTAGAAGATTACACTTTTCCAACTGTCCATGTGAGTTCTAAATGCATTCTGATTTTCATGTCTGTTTAGTTGGAAAAGATCACTTTAGACTGGTTTTTCTGTTCCAGCATGCATGTTAGAGTCAGATGATGTAAGACAATTAAGTCAACCCTATGGGAAGCTTTCATTCAAATATTTAATGATGGAGATAATTGTGATGCCAAGTAAATTGACCTACATAGATACAAAATTCCTGTCGACCATTTGGGAATGTTCAGTGCATAGACTTCCCAAAGAATATGTTTCACACTCCTTTAAAAACATCAGAGGGCTATGCCAGATCCTGTTGTATATACAGCCTGTACAGGAGTTTAGAACTTCTGTTTAATGTAGAAGTTTGCCCTTAGAGAATGTGGGGAGTTTGGARCTGGGTATGGTCATTTGGGGTTGTTTTTTGCTGTTAATACTAATACCTGATATCTCTAAGTTCAGAAATTCTTTCTGAGTTACATGGAACTGATGTCCGAAGTGACTTCTCATATGTGTGAGAACATCTCATAGACTGAGCATCTCTTTCTCAGTAAAACTAATGAGAAATAAGTAAATACACATTAAAATCACTGTTTCATTTTTAAATACTTACTGGAGGGAGACTACCTAGTTTCTGATTTCTGACTGCTTGTATTTCTCTGAAACTAGTAATCAGCAGTGTGACATCCATTCTGAAGGCTTTAGCAAGACATGAAATAGTTTAAAATGTCCCATTGAGTTAAGGGGGTAAGACAATATCTGCATGTTTCAAACAACTGCAAGTTGCAAATGTTGCAGATAAATGCCAAGTTGTTTCATAAAGAAGTTTCATACAATTTTTCAGTGATTTGACAAGGGAGATGCACAGGTTTGGTCTTGGATAATCGTTCGAAACAGTTTTCATTTCAGTATTTGCCTTCATACAATAGAAATTCTGTGAAAAATATKAATTGTTCTTCTGGAAGTTTGAAAATAGGAGACATTTATTGTTGACTTCCTTTTCTTGCAGGATGCTGAAGATGAAGAAAATGAGAAAGGTATGTCTAAAGTTTAATAGAGTTCAGAGGTCTTACTCTGGTAGAGCAGGCAACTTTCTCTTTTAACATTCAATCTCTACTAATACTAGGCTTATCTCCAGCGCTAAATATCAGTTGTCTCCTCATTGAGCTCAGCACCTGGAATCACTGCAGTCAGTTTATTTCTCTCCTAAGAGTTACTTTACTCTTAGGAGCTGATTATAGTAGTTATCAGTTACTGTGGTGGATGTATAATGCAGTTGTAATACTATGGGTCTTAATAAAACCCATAGTATTCAAGGACTCTGATTTTAATATACGGTAAGTGTTGATGCCAAAGCTTCCAACTTGCACTGCAGTAACTGATGTTTAGTTGAGTGAAATGCTACACTCTCACACTGAAGTTGAGCACCCCACAAATGTATGGACCATCATATGCTTGGCTCACTGTCACTTATAAATACCAGTTGTACATAGGATGGTAAAATAAGTGTTTGAAAACCTGTGGAGTGGCTACCATTTTTTAAGCTGTGCTCATTAGTGAAACTGTAGAAGGAATGTAATGCATTTGGGCAAACAGACTTCCTGGACAGAAGTCTTAAGGATTCTACATTTTGTGGACTCGAAAGGACATGGAACACCAGCACTTTACACAAGATGGAATAAACACATTACTGAAGCTACAGGATAAAACTGCAGACTCCATATTTATGAGGGACCCTATGGCCGAAGTGTCTCATCTAYGCAATTCCAACGGTTGGAGATGCCTCTGTGGGACTGAGATGGAAAGTCTTGCCAGTGGATGAAGATTGAGGACCATTTGTCTACGAGCTCTGGATTAAGGCTCACTCAACCACGGTCTGCAGCAGCCTTGTACAGCTCACTTGACTGCCAAGCATCTGCTTGGAAAGGAAAGGAACAGAGAGCACTGATGTGGAAGACTGGCTGGAATTCTCCAAGACTGTAATTCTTTCGGATTTGCGAAGGTTAGAAGTTCTGGAACCAGGAAGATTCAAAGACAGATTAAATCAAACTGTGAACATCCAAAGCAACTATTTTCTTCTGGAACGCTAAATCCTAAACTGGAAAATGGATACTACTTATGAAGAACGGGTATCTCCAGGATGGAACCATATTCTCCCTCCTAAAATTTTGGTATTTGTCTCTAGAAAATGTGTTTTGCCATGAAGAATAAGTGATCCTGGGTAAAGGATTTATATTTGTGTTAATACACCTTGTGTTTTTTTCTAACCTTCCATCAGTGCTAATAACTGGCTTTGTATTTTCTAGGTCCTATTCTAGCTTATGCATATGAAATTGTTTAAACTTCTTGTTTTGCCATATTTATTCCTGTTAAATCCTCTTAGATAAAGCAGGTTCTGGTGATGGTACACAAGAAGTATCTAAACCTCTTCCTTCAGAAGAAAGCCTAGCTGAGGCTGATCACACGGCTCACGAAGAGATGGAAGCTAACACCTCTGTGAAAGAAGCTGAGGATGATAACATATCGGTTACAATCCAGGCCGAAGATGCCATCACTCTGGATTTTGATGGTGATGACCTCCTAGAAACAGGTAAAAATGTGAAAATTACAGATTCTGAAGCAAGTAAGCCAAAGGATGTGCAGGATACCATTTCACAGAGCCTGGAGAAGGAAGGCAAGGACTATGAGATGACTGAGAACCATAAAGATGGTAAGAAGGAAGACTGCGTGAAGGGTGATCCCGTCAAGAAGGAAGCCAGAGAAGGTTCAAAGAAAGCAGAATCTGGAGACAAAGAAAAGGATACTTTGAAGAAAGGTCCCTCGTCTACTGGGGCCTCTGGTCAAGCAAAGAGGTTTGTTTTTCTATGTCAGTTCTTTACGATACTGAGTACCAGCATTCAATAAGATCACTCTACATTAAGGGGGTAGCAGCAAGAATCTTATAATTAGTATCCTATGCTCCTGCCTATGGGTTTTTTGACCGCCATAAGTTACTTTTTAAAATTCAAGATCTTCGTATAGACACTATGTCCTACTGATTGCATTGTCGAATTGTCAGCATTTATTTATTTTTTTCAAATTGACGATTTTTTTTAAATGTCCTTGTGATGATGGTAATGAACAGCTATCAGTTCTAAGAACACAAAATGAAGTCAAGTCCCCGTCCTGAAATCTGGAGAAGATTGCCATATATCCACTGAATAGAGTTGTCAGAAAATCTAGATCTTCAGGCATCTTGGGGAAAATCAGTGCAAGAATCCATAAGGGAATCATTTGTTCAAATATGCAGTCTGGCCCTTTTTCATTTTTATTTTTTGAAATGTTAACTTGTGTGCTAGTTTTAGTATAAAATGCAACACCAAATTCTGTAGTTTCAACTTTCTTCTGATTTTTTTTAATTTGCTTCTCTAGCTCTACTAAGGAATCTAAAGAAAGCAAGACAACATCAAAGGATGATAAAGGTAACTATTACAAGTTAGGGTACTAGAAATTAGTATTGTCTTGAACTCAATGCTTTCCTGATWAAGAAATTACTTGCCACCTAATAAAATGGCTCATATGATTGAACTCAGCCATCTGTAGTAAATTATGCTAGAGGTGCAGTAGTCATTTGCTATATGTATGTGTCCATATATTTTCTTTCTCCTTATGCCAGGTTCGTCATAAGATCAAAAATCCTTATTCTAAAGGCTTGATGAAAATGCATTCTCTGGTTTCAAAATACTTTTGGGAGCAAATTTCAGTTAACGTTTCCCAAGTTTGTTTTCATGAGAAGCTGTAATTTTCAGATAAGCCAGCTGTAGCTTACTCAGAACAGAGCAATTGCAAGTATTTAAGCGTAATGTCAACGAAATTTTTTGTCTTGTTTATAATTCTAGCTAATTTTTTAATAAATTGAACTCTCAACCAAGTATAATAGCTGAAATGCCAGCTTGCAAAATTGCACTTATGGCTGTTTAATGTATTAAATTTGAACCTATTTGTCTGCCTTGGAGTTCCGTTTCCCTAAAACCCTGTATTATGATTACAAATTCAGAGTGGAGCACAAGACCACATGAATTGCACCAGTTACACTGATGTTTCATGGTTGAACAAAGGCGTTTGTGTGAGCTCATGTGTCTCCTTATTTTACCTATTCCCTCTCTGCCAGAAACCTTCGTCACACAATCTCTGGCATAACACTAACAGATGACTGAAACTTCATCTGATAAATGAATTTGAGAAAATTTTTTTGTGGCAGACATAATTTGGCCTTTTGTAGATGTGTCTTTTCATGACAGTTACATGCTTACACTGAAACRGGATGCAGATTTGTTTATCTTCATTGATGTAGCATATGTGGTAACTGTAATAGTTAGACTATCCTAAGGCTTTCTTAATATACACAGCCAAAGCCAGGATAGTGGCTGTTTAATGATATTGGAATTCTAACTGCAGAACTATGGARTGTTTTGGGTTGGAAGAGACCTTAAAGGGACACCTTCCACTATCCCAGGCTGCTCCAAGCTGTCCAACCTGGCCTTGAGCATTTGCAAGGATGGGGCAGCCACAGCTTCTCTGGGCAACCTGTGCCAGGRTCTCACCAGCTCACAGAGCAGARTTTCTTCCTTATATATCTAATTAATACCAAGATAACCCTAGTATTAGCATAACTGAGATTTGTTGCCTTGTGCTCTTAGTTAGTCTTGATGCATTGAAGAAACAAAACTACTCTATCTTTTTTTTTTTCCTCAAAGTGGTTAAATTACCTCTTAAAACTACCTTGTCATCAGATTTTCCAGTTGTTCACCAGATCCACTTCTGGTCTTGCCTGTATGACTGGCTCCATTTTAACATATTCCAAAGCAGTTCATACATTTAGCAGCAAATACCAACAACAAGCTGAAGTACTAAAAGATGTTGAGAATGAGATTACATGAATCTCTTGAGTTCTTACTGCTTTGTTATTTCAAAAATATTTAATGTATTGGGTGGGAGGAATATTTAAGGCACATAATGTTTTTCCAGCTTTTATGTATTATTTTCCTGAGTATGTAGGAAATAACATTGGTGTGTTGTATCCAGTTCTACATCCAGTAGTCTTTTTAAAAAACTGCAGGTACTTCAAAAAGTTGTGAAAATTGACCACATGATTCCAGAGGYTGGGATTGTCTAAGTTTCCTATATTAACCTTTCTGTTGTCTCTGASAACATGAGCAATGTACAGACATCATGATGGAGAGCAAATACTGTGTGTAAAAAAACCCCATTTTCTTGGATGGAAGCTAAGTGTACGTACCCAGTGAGGGATAAAGCATGCCTTTAACAAAGATCTGTATTCTTTTTCTAGCTCTGTCCTTTGGGTACAAATTAGCCAAACTGTTGGTCTCAATATGTGGTTAAATGAATGAAATCTTATGTCATATATTTTTTTTTTTCTATAGAAGTCTTTTCAAGAAAGGTAACCAGATAAACAATTACTTAGAGGTAACAGGCTAAGTTTCTCTTTTCAGCAACAGTTTATCTAAATATTCATGGTACCTTTGTCTCCTTAATTTTTTGGCTGTTTTGTAAAACTTGTTTCAGGAAGCGCAAGCAGTGTTAGTGGTAGCAGTGGAAGTTCAACTAGAAACCTGTGGGTTAGCGGATTGTCTTCCAACACAAAAGCTGCTGACTTGAAAAATCTCTTTGGCAAATATGGAAAGGTATTTCATGGGGCATGATATCATGTGTGTGGTGTGTGTGTGTCTATTCTCTGTCATAGGTTCAGTTACAGAAATTGATTAATAGTTGATTTAAATAAAGGTTTGAGAGAAAATGTTTGACCAGTGMAAGCTAAAGCCCCATACTTGCTGCAGTAAGAGTGTATGCTTACAGGAGACCCACATGTTCATTTTGTGAGAAATTCTTCTGCCTTTTGAGGTAGGAAAAGTACAAAAAAAATTTCCAAATACTTGAATAGTCTGGTCAGGACTGGCGTTTTAAATAATGATGGCTATGTTCCTTTGTAGCAACTGTRTTTAAGCATGAGTGCAAAACAATGTACTAACTGATAAAACTGTAGTATAAACAGTCTTTATAAAACATCCTGCTTTGGGAGACTGTTTAAAGTGTATTCTGAAGACTTATGAATGGAATGAATAGGTAAAAAGATGTGATGTTTAATGTATGATCCTTTAGGAACWTTTAATTACTTAATGATCCTTTTTTACAGGATGCTTAAACTAAGTCTGTTTTCGTGATTTTGGTTAATTTAAACATACAAATYCCATAGAATAATGTGAAAATGCTAAAAGCTAAGCAGTATTCTAAACACAAGGTTATTCTCATTTTCCCAAAGGAGTTGCTGGTAACTATGTGAACTTGTAGTATTTGTGTGAGCCTATGTGGTTAATGGCATTATTGTGTCTTGGGTACTGGTTAGAACCTGAACACTGTTAATATCAAGTATGTGTATTGATTATTGCACATCTGATTTTTATAATTAATTTAGTAGGTARTTTTATTTAATGCATTCACAAGTGTAGAAAGCTGAGAGTATATTTTGTTGAAACTTCCAAATATTTGGAGTTGTTCCAATTGTTTTCAGTGTAAAGCTGGTTGATACTTATATTTACATAGCTTCCTAGTTTTGAAATTGATTGGGAAACATTTAATGACTGTACCATGACAGTCTGCTAGAAAGATAAAATTATTGCCTTTAGAGCATGATTGTGGCAAAAAGACTGGCTCCAGCAGCTGTAGAAATTCTAGCAAGGAGCGGGAACACAAATACCTTCTCAAGAAGCAGATGTCAGAGCTGAATGCTAAAATGGCTTAATTGACACACTTGCTAGATGACCTTGAAGAATTGGCTCCCTTAAGTTACTACGAAATACTCCTTGTACGTTCCTGCCATTAATTTGGCAGCTGCTGACTTTTTGTGGGGGTGCATCTGTCAGAGATGAACCATCAGATGCAGGTCAGTGGTGTTTCTGTGAATGAATTTTGACAGTAACTCTAAAGAGAAGCTTTTGGTTAATGGGCATGAGGTGACTGGTYAAAACAGGATGCAGTCATTAATATGCTTTGATAGGCAAGTTGGATAAAGTTCTCAAAACTTCTGAGAACTTGGGAGTGTCAGTYAGTCTTTCTAGTGGGGTGGGAGTTACATTGCTGTTAGGCTGAACTTGTTTTGTTTTCTTATATACTAGGATAAAGTTATTATTGGAATACCATAGCTTCCTTAGTAGAAATGTCTCTCTCAGAACCTAACCTTTTCCTGTTTGCATAGGTACTTGGTGCAAAGGTGGTTACAAATGCACGAAGCCCAGGGGCAAAATGCTATGGCATAGTGACAATGTCCTCTAGTACAGAAGTGGCCAGATGCATTGCACACCTGCACCGAACAGAGCTGCATGGACAGCAGATCTCTGTGGAGAAAGTAGGTTTTGTAACATGAAGACCTTTCCCAAAATAGACCATCTTTTACCAGAATCTGTATTAACCTATTTACTTTTGAAAAAATAACCAGGTGAAAGGTGATCCGTCCAAAAAAGAATTGAAGAAGGAAAGTGATGAGAAATCTAGTTTGAGTAGGAGCATAGGAGATAAGAAGACTGCATCAAGTGACAAAGCCAGCAAGTAAGAAATTTCACATCTCCTGAAATTGTGAAAATTCTCTAAACTGAATTTTCCTCATTGGATTTATATGTTCTTTTTTTCTAATAAGAACCCCATCAACCAAAAAGGAAGAAAAGAAATCAGAGAAATCTGAAAAAAAAGAAAGTAAAGAAGCCAAGAAAACAGAAGGTAAAGATGAGAAGAGTGATAATGGAACAAGTGGCCCTAATCAAGAATCCACTAAAAAAACTGAAGAAAAGAAAAGAATAAGTATGCCATATAGCTGTATTTCCTCTTGTTCATTCTGTGTGTCTGACTTGTCTTGGGGGCATGTTCTTGCTCTTACTGGAAACCAGACAATTAAACACCTCTACCTTTTTAGACTCCAGTAACGCATTTCTTAGTTCTGTACTTTATACTAATATTAATTACAGGCATGTGCTGGTATGCTTCTCCTACCAGTACCAGTTTGCTTTAGAGATTTAGACATTTCACTAAGGAAAATTTGTAATAGGCAAATAGAGATAGTTGTGTGCATGTTTTTAAACCTTTTGGTTTTTTTTTTTTTTTTGTTTCCCCCCTTCACTAGGTGGTAAAAGCCCAGGTCAAGTTGTAGTTTTAGACCAAACAAAAGGAGACCAAGGCCACACTAGGACAGTTAGAAGGGGAAGGTTTGATAAAGTAAGTATCTATAGATTTGATGCCATCCTTACCTGATTTAATCCTACCTTGCAGTTGATATTTGCACTGAAGAGTCAATAAACTATCACAAACTGTTAAGCTTAGATAGAAGCTTTGTATGCTTTGGGATTGCTAAGTCATTAATGATACTTGAACATAGCATCCAGAAATCTCCCTAAATGAATGAGACTTCTGAAATAACCATTGTAATCTCTATCTATAGCCACAGATATTGAGGAACAAAGAGCGTATTATTCAAGAGAAAGTGAAATTCAGGGAATACAGGGGTAGAAAGGATATCTTGCCTTTTGAAAAGATGAAGGAACAGAGATTGCGMGAACACATGGTTCGATTGGAAAGAATACGACGAGCTGTTGAACTGCGAAGGTAGTAAATCAACTTTTTGCTAAAGGCTATTTTATACATTAATTGATCAAATACTATATTAAGAAATCTAATCAGAGCGCATTTTGTCAAGCCTTCTACCCAGATGTTAAAGTCTGGGACTTTACCTAACAGTATCTTTATGTGAATTAACAAACTTCAAAATTTTTGTGTAATCTTTTAATRGCTTTATACAAACACACATATCTTAGAGTTTGTTACAGTGGAGGGGGTGTATCTCGTAAGTGTTAACTGCATGCCAGCTTTCTTTTTGACAAGTGAGAAGTAGACTAGGAGACAGGGCCAAAAGCAGTGTTTGGGGTTTATTTGTTTTCAAACATGTTGTATATCTTAATGACAAATCAAGTATAATACAGTCTTGGTCCTTTAAATGAAGGACCAAATGGCTAAACTGTTCTGTTCTACTGTTTCCATATGGCCAAAAGCTTGCAAAGAACAGTTAAATGAGCTGTGCTGTTAGCTGGGTTTCCTGAAACCAAGAGAAACAATTCCTAAACAAAGGGATTCCCAGCAAGCATAAAGCTTAAAGGAGAAAATGCCTTTTGTGCTTCCTCTAAGCTGCACTGTGCGAAATAGAAAGAARGAAGTAAAATGAAGCTGTTCACAAGTTTACTAACCTGTGCAGCTCAGAGTGGTCATGATTGTCTTAGTTTTTTAACAGAAAACCATAAGTGTATTTTGTGTTAGCGTGAAGAGGACAAGAGCTAAAACAGCATTTGCTTCTAAAATCCAAATKATATTCTTGGCTATGTTGTTGTTATTGTGTGCCAGACGACAAATGAGATCTCTGAATTAAGCATAAAATACATCAACAATGATGATTCTTGAAATAACTTTTCCTATCTGTTGTCTGCTAATGGTTCTGTAGATAAAGTAAAACAACTTTGGCTACTTGGGGCTAAAAGGAGTAGACTTCTGATGCAGGGACTTCTGTGAAGAGCTTACTCTGAAATAGTTTTTAARTGTCTGTGCTTAAGGTGATGTTAGTTTTGGATGACAGAATTTTTCAGATGAATTTCTGTTACCTTTTTTTTTTTTCTTCAGGCGAAGAGAAATTGCTGAGCGAGAGCGGCGTGAGCGAGAACGGATACGAATAATGCACGAGCGAGAAGAGTGCCTGCAGAGGGAAAGGGAACGACTGGAGATTGAGAGGCAAAAGCTGGAGAGGGAGAGAATGGAACGGGAGCGCTTGGAGAGGGAGCGCGTTCGGATTGAACAGGTGGGCAGAGTTGTGTTCTGCAATCTGCAGGAATGTTTTGGAGGCTGGACCAGTTTGCACTTGTGGGGAATTTTGATCTTCACCCTTCCACCCAGCCCTTTTTCTTCCATAAAAATAGCCAAAGATTACATAATCCTAGCTCTACAACAGGAATCTTGTTTGCATGTGAGTAATTTGATGTAAAATGCTTGCTACTGCAGCAGCTATACAGCCTCTACACATGAAGTACAATAGATRATTTTGCCTGTACTACTCTTCCATAATTTTACTAGATTTTCCCTGTAGATTGTCACTGCAAACTTCAAGAAGTGTTTCTGGGCAAYGAATACAGTAGTAATACCTGGAGGTATATCTGTGTAAGAGCCAATAGCATCTCCAGATTTGTAGCCTACTTTTTTAGAGAAATATTCCCTATGGTCTTYAATCTTAGATGCCACCCAAGGATGCATTTTCTCCAATAACCTGTAGCAGAAAACTGTCAAGGGATAAGCTTGTATACTCGCTAACCATTCTGGAGGTATCTCCAGTAAAAGCCTGTTCTGTTTGTGGTTCCTTTCATGGCAGGAACGTCGGAAAGAAGCGGAGCGAATTGCTCGAGAGAGGGAGGAACTTCGGCGGCAACAGCAGCAGCTCCGCTATGAACAGGAGAAGAGGAATGCTTTGAAACGTCCACGGGATGTAGATCACAGGTAATTATCAAAATAGCTTTCTGCAGTGCATAATAAAATGAAACAGCTACAAGCCTTGCATCAGTCTTGAAAATGCATTTGCACCTGCAGCAGGTCTTCACAGAAGAACTGGATTTCAGGTATTTGTTTGGTTTGGCATTAGTWTGACAAACATGAAACTCTGTATCTGTAGGAGGGAGTTTTGAAATTAGAGAAGTATCCCGTGGATTATTTTTTATTGGATGAAAAAACCACACTTCAGAGCATTTGCTGGGAAAAGCTGCTTTGCCTTAACTGTTGAAGCTTCTAGCTTATACTTAGAGAATTCATATTTCTGCTAAATGARTGGTTCAGGAAGTCAGTGTGATGACTTAATTTTCTTGAATTTTAATCAGTAGTGAAGCTGATGACATCTATAATTTGCTGTTTGAACCACATGAAWTGAACTGGCTTTGATCTTTATTTGATTGTAAAAATAGGACTGAGACCTTAGCCATAAAATTCACATGTGGAAAGTAAATGTAAGTCATCATGGTAGCTACAGTAGCAGAACACTAATATTTCTTCACCRGAGGAATAAAGACAGCTTAATTGTTCAAGGCTACTGATTGTACACCTAATTTCCCATTCTGAGCTAGAGACTCTGTAAGAAAGGCCTTGGTGTTTCCTACCATGTTCTTTCCCAAGAAAACAGTTCAGATTTTTGGGGGTGGGTTGGTTTGGGTGGGTTCGCTTGTTTTTTTCCTAGAGGGCATTTCTTTTCATAGAAGGCTATTTTCAGGCAAAAATTCTGCTGTAGTGTTGTTTATGGGGGTTCTGTTTTGTTTTTAAACTGCCCAAACAATATRCAGTTGCTTAGATTTTGTTACATATTTTATTGGTATTTTATCTCTTCAATTTATACTTCAAACAAAGGGGTGGTTAGTTTAGGGTGTTTTCTTAAATGATTTTGTTCATCACTATTTATAGAGTCTACCTTTGTTATTGGTTTTACAAATATCAAATGAGCATCCTCTGAAATAGGCAATTGACTCAAAAATTTTCTGCATATTAGGCCTTGGTTTGGCTACATGTGACTGATGAGGTTTCCTTTATTTGGCTAAAGGAGAGATGATCCTTACTGGAACGAGAGCAAGAAGATGGCTCTTGATACAGATGCACGTTTTGGCCATGGCTCRGATTACAGCCGCCAGCAGAACAGGTTCAGTGACTTTGATCACAGAGAACGAGGCCGATACCCAGAAGGTTCTTCTGTTCCATCATCTTCTTTTGATAGGTGAGTTTAGATAATAGGGCAGGTATTTGCCTGCCAGCATCTCGATGGATTTCACTCTTAACTGTCCAAAACTGAAAGTGGTGCTAAATGCTTTACACAGTTCTGATGTAATAGAACTGCAGTACTGTCCTGGTATTCCTTGTGTCTTCAGGACTGGCCACTTTTATCATGGAATTTAGTCTGCTTTTCCCTGAGGACTTTAAATTAGCTACCTGGTGGCCTTTTTTGTGAGACATTTCAAAAGGATTTTTGCAATTATTCCTTCCTCTTTCACATCTAATCATAAGTTCCAATGGATTACCTATATGCAACTTCGTAACTTGCCTCCTTAAGAAGCAAGGCTAAAAGCAACTGATTTTAGAAGAGTTAAGATCATTCATCATAATCCATGAACTGTGCAGTAAATGCTGGTTCCAGGTGCAACTTCATGGATCCATTAAACATCTCCAGTTAMCACCTACAAAGCTAAGACCACGTCATTGTAGGTCCTGGATGTCTACTTTTAGGCTGCAGTGAACTAGAATTTTAATACAGTTCTGGCTTGAGAAGTGGGAACAAATACAAGCATGAAGAAATGTTTAACTGGCTGTTACAACTCAARCTCAAAATTACAATTGTAGAAATAAATACAGTTTTGGGGTGGGAAGGATCTTTGATTTCTATACCATGTATATAGTAAGAAACAAGTAATACAAAGATTAGTGATATCTTATGTCCTCATGCATGTGAGTGGGGAGAAATGYGAAAATGGGAAACAAGCAAGTAACTTTTTCCTACTTTAACAACTTAGGCGAGATCGTTTTGTAAATCAAGGTGAGGCAAAAAAGACTCGCCCAACAGCACGAAGAGAAGAGCCAGGGTTTGAGAGATATCCCAAAAGCTTTAGTGAATCCAGAAGAAATGAACCACCCCAGCCAAGAAGTGAACTCCGGGACACGGACAGACGGGAAGTGCGAGGAGACAGAGATGAAAGGAGAACAGTAATAATTCACGACAGACCAGAAATACCACACGGCCGACATCCCAGAGAAACTGGTTCCAACCCACCTAGGCAAACAAATTGGAAGAGTGAGGGAAGCATAAGCACAGACAAACGGGATGGCAGGTAAATTTGTTGACTAATCAGTGAAAGTACTTATTCTTGTAGAATTTATCCATAGGAGCAATTCCTCAAGAATTAGTGTGCAAAAGAGAATAGACCCTCCCCTCCTAAAGAAAAGCATTGTAAGAAATATGTAGGTTATCAAATGCTAAATCTCATCTAGGAGCTGGATGCTAACTTCCAGCAGTCTGTTTATCATGACTAGCAACAGACTTAAGGAGGCTTTGGTTTAGAAAGCAGATGTAAACGAGTAACTTGTGAGCTTTAATTATTTAAAGAGCCACAGAGATCTAAAAGAATGTTTCTGAAAGGTCAGCTGCAGGTTGCTAGGAACCACTGGAATCTTTGTTGTCTACATGTGCTATGATTTGGTACCAATTCAAGTATACTGAAACCCAAATTTTGATGAAAGCAATTTTTACAGAGGCGACCGGCCGGATCGGTCAGGAAGGGAAGTGTCCGGCCACGTGAGGGGAGCACCCCCCGGCAGCCGCAGCAGCGCCTCGGGCTACGGCGGCAGAGACGGAGAACGGGGCGTGATGGGAGACAGAGGTGGAGGACAAGTGAGTCACCTTCTTGTGTTTGTGTGCATGGARGAGAGGCTGGAAAATGCAGGCTCATGCTGGAAAAATGACCATACAGCATCGTCAAAATGATTCACAAACATTCTGGCTATTTTCAGATTAGCTTTCTTTATGTTAAAAGTTTCTTAATAACCCAAGAAATTGCAGAAAAAATATCCTATTCTGTTTGTCTGGCATCCTTATAGTACATCAGAACAATATCTTAGAGTTGATGATTAAGGTTTAGAGACTTCATCCTTTCAGGGTCTTAACCATACACTGCCTGCTACTTTCAGTGTAGTTTGTAATTGTRATTTGTAATGTGATACTGAGAGAAAATCCTTCTGCAAGATTTARCTTTAAAGACTACAGACTAAATCACTCCTGCTAGTGGATCCTGAAGCATTAAAAAAGTACTAACATTCTTCCTGAGTTTTATGCCAGTGATCATGAGATCAGGGCAGAATTGGGAGTAATGTGTGAGCTCATGGAATTCACTCCCTGCGTACCCACACATTTGTCATTGCAATTTCTGTTACACAGAATTAACAGGAATATTATWAACGTGAGTTGTCAGCCTATGGACTGAAATCTCAAAAGGTGCTGGACTTATGTTTATTTTATCAGCTGTAAGCTTACCTGTCTTGAAAAGCTTGTTTCCTCTAGATAAAACAGGCCTTTCATTCTGAGAATTGACTGGCTGTCACTTTCTCACCAGCACTATAACGAGGACAGACACGTTGTAGAGCGCCACAGTCGTGAAACTGGACCAAGGAAAGAATGGCATGGACCTRGTTCTCAAGGAAGTGGCTACCATGACACGAGGAGAATGGGAGATGGCCGTGGAGGAGGGGCCATGATGGCTCCACACACAAGGTACAGAAACTACTCCTTCCTCTCCATTCCCTACTGAGCCCCTCCACGCTTTGGTGTCTTTAGGAAGTCCAGCAGTGCCAGTAACAGCAGCATTACTCTCTGGCTGCTGCACAACACACACCCCCATCCTGCCCTGCCAGCACAGGGCTCCCCAGGGSTATTGCTGCTGGCACCATTGCCCAGCAGCACAGGACTGAGGGATTTCTTGCGAAGTCTCTTTTCCTGCATGTTTTCAAGTCTCTTTGAGACTTAAAACAGTTGAGTGATAGATATAAGAATATTATTACCTGTGCCCCAGGAGTTCAGATACGTATCATAACACTTTCTTTAAAACTTCTGTTTCCAGTAATKCTTCACCCATTAATAGAGTTGTACAGATCACAGGCAATTCCATGCAGAGGGGAAGTGGCTCAGGATTTAAGCCATTTAAAGGTGGACCTCCACGAAGATTCTAAGATCTACAGCTGCTTGGTTTCAAGATAACTTATTGAAATCTCTTGTAAACTTTCTCCGATTAAGAACAGGAAATCTTGTCTGGAAATCCTGGTTAAATTTTTTTAATTTAACATGATTATTTTCCTCTCAATTTTGGAGGCATTTTAATAGTTACGTTGTAATTTTGGATAGTTTTTGTGTATCTTTGATAAGCATTTTCCTTGAGGCACTAGAGCTGTGTAAAAAGAAATTGGAACCAAAATATTTGTTAATCCTGTATAAAAGATTAGTTTGCAGCTGTGTGCTAGTAGTTTGATTTGCCAACATTAGCTCTGTGGTGTCATGCTTTAAAGTTAGCTACTTCTCACAACATCCAAAATAACCTCCATTTTGAAGGTTGTCCAGGCCATTATCTCTGCTTTCTAATTTGTAGAGAAATAAGATTTGTTCTTTCATTACTGGGTATTATGTAACCTATTTTTGCAGAAGGTACTGTTACATTGAGTGCATTTATGTGTATTCTTGCAAATGTATTCTTTTGAAATAAACCTTCATATTCTGTATAGCTTCTAGTAAGTCTTTAAAGCAGTCATTGGAGAAGGAAGGCAGAACTCAACAGACATGTTGCTATAGCAAATCAAAACATGAGTGCCATTAGATTCTAACTCAAACTGCTSTGTTTCCTTCACTGTTACTGAACTGAAAACTTAAAAGCACATTTACTCACAGAAGAAAGATGAGAAAAAAAATAGCAGAACACTCAAGGGAGGCCTAAAGAAATGATTTTACTTTGCTCTTTGTGTTTAGGAAAGCTCTGTGGAACTTTGATACAGCTGTTTATTTACACCAGACTACCACAAACTCTGTTTTATAGGGTTTGGGGAATCCTGCAGCTACTCACTGATGTAGCCTTGAGCTAAAGGGCTGCATCTTGTTAAGCCTTTGGGTTTGGGTCAGCATGGAAGGGCCTGTGTTAAAGCYTTCTGGACCAGGCCCAATTAGAAATGCCAGGCAGCCAGGCCAGGACTCGTTTATCACCAGGTTACAACACTGCTATTCATCAAGGGAGAAAAGCAAATTAATCCCACTTGGTAAAGCTGGATGGTGGATGGTTACCCAAATGAATAGGGGACTCCTAGCAGAACAGAAGAGCTTAGGAAGCAGTTCTTGAATAAGAGCTGAAAATGTTTACTGGTCCAGATTGCCTTTGAAAGAAGGATTTGAGTTACATTTTTTAAGGCATGAGGTAGTRAGAAGATGCCGATTTATGCTCACTGTGTGGAAGAACTGCTAAGCACCTGCAGTGTTCCAGGGGAATTTAACTAGCAGAGAAGGAGTTGAATTAAACTGGTTTTGAGTAAGTAGCCTTTCAAGAAAGATGGAGAAACCTGGTGGTGTAACAGCATTATCTCCAATTAAATCCTATATTGATATTCACATCTGACAAATATTTAGGTTTAAACAAAAGAAATGCACTGTCCAGCAAGTGTGTCACTTACCTTGATGTATTTAATTCATCTTGTTCAATTCTTAAAAAGAAAAATCTAGGAAGTTCTATTTACTGAGTTCTGCTGCAGGAGTTTTCAATAGAAAGTACAAGTTCACGTGCACTGTCAAAAGTACTGTGCATTTGGCTGCAGTCTGTGCTTCATCTGGTGTAACACACACACAAAACAAGTATTTGCTGTAAGATGAACCTGTAGGGGCTAATGGATCAAATGGGCAATAGGGAAGTTTATAACCTTACATAGAGAGGTAGAGAAATAAAACAGGAGAGACCCTTGCTTCCCTGTAGAAGTCTAGCTATGCATTCCAACAATTAAATTAAAAATGTGATTGTGCAGGTGTAGATATTTCACTTAAAACAAATGAGGACAATGGGGAAAAAAACAACATTGAAAACAAATTGCCCAAACCTTTGAATTTATCAAATGCTTAAGAGCACCAGAAGTCTATCCTTTTCTTTTCCAGAGTGAGTTTTTGTTGGGTTATTGTTGTTTTTTTTTAAGCGTATCATCCAACCTTTATTATAAGGAAAGAACTTAAATATCTAAATGAAATATTTATTTAATTTTGCTCACTTAAATTTATTTATATACAATGAGTTTCAGAAGACAGTTAACCAAAATAAATCTCAGTTGGGTAAAGACCTTGAACTAGAGAGAGGCTGGTAATGGGACACACTATTTAAAAGTTAACAGAATTTAACAGTGTTGTGGTACACAAACAAAAAAGGATATTAAGATACAGAACTGGATTTCTCTGAAAATTATTTGTGTTCAAAATAATTGTAACAATTTACAAGGAAAATGTTATTTCCTTATAGTCTTTAAAAACACATTAATACAATATAAACAATTAAGGCTTTTAAAATGCAAAACATTCAGTAGTTGAACTTGTAGATGCCATTACAGTGTTTGATAATGGTGTAACATGATGAAAGGGATTTCATTCCCMTACATTGGTACAAATGATACTGGATGACTGGATTTGTGTCATGGACTTCTAAAATACAACTTAAAAAACTCAACTTCTCCCCTCTCTTGCTAAATCCACAGTCACTTGCATCAGCTTTATTTTGCATTTCCTTCTAAGATTTAGATTTAGAGACCAGGTAAACACTGGGTGACTAACAGACTCACAGCCAAACTGCTGATTTAACACAGGAATTGCACAATTCTGGTGGCATCTTGAAGACATTGCAAATCTGGAAGTCTTTTGGAACTTTCCTAAAACAATAGGGTTTTGCATAGGGGGTTTTTATTTTAAAACATTACATTGTAAAACAACCCAGTCAAGGCAGTTAAGACAACAACTACTTGACTTAGCATTGAAGAACTTGGGGCAACTTCTGTAGGATTCATTTTTGTATGTTTTATCAGTAATTTCTTTACTAAGCTTAYATGCATGTATGTGTAAAAGGTGATTATCACAAGTTGGACAAATAAKGGCTATGCAGCTGGTGCCCTGGTAAAAGGATAATTGAAAGTAATTTTTAAAAACTTTCCTAAGAAATTGTTTTGCTGAAAGCTGTAATATAAACCAAAACGCTGTCATTTGACATTAAAGCTCTATCAGGTTATTATGGGGAAACTGCTGACAGTATTTCTCACTCCCTTATAAAGAAGTTGCTGTAAGGAATTACCATAATACTGAGTGGGTAGTAGCAGACTTAGAATATATTTATGTGGCACAGGACAAGTATTTGACACTTCCTATAGTTCAAAGTACTGCTGTCAAAGTTGTTAGGTTCARCCTGTAAAAAGGGATTACACACTGCAAAAACACAGGGAAAAAAAAAACATTCACAGGTGACATGACCTGCCCAGTACAGTCTGATAGCAACCTGCAGTAATTGGTGGTGTTTTTGCAACTACACTAGTAGTTTACAAACAGTATCCAAACCAGAATCCTGCTTATTGTACAGACATCCATGTCTGTACTGTAATTCCCTGATCCTGAATTCCAYTCACACTTTTTAGCACTGGTGATTTCAACAGTTATCAAAACATAGATTAGGAAACCCTTGCTACAATACATTTACCTCTTGAAATCATTGTACTTATGGTCACTTTTTAAATGGGCTCTCCAAAGTTATTTTTGTTTGCCAGTCCCTAAGAGAAAGCATGTAAGAAATCCAGAAATACAAGCATACCACTGTAACCCGAGTATATGRAATGCAAACATGTAATTATTGCAACTATTCATGATAAAAAATGCAAAAGCTGGATTACAAGTAGTTTAAAAGTCCACAAGCAGACTCATTGGTTCACTGTATCTGCAGTGTCTTGAAGACACCACCTACTACTGTGCTTTTCCAAGCAAAGGATTTTATTTCCACAGCAAAACTTTTTCCTGTAAATACAACCAGTAGTAGTTTCTATACATGCAGTGGCCAAAATCTCCACACATTTACATACCTCACTGAGAACCTGGTTTCAAACTTTCAGTAGGAAGGGCTTCACCAAAACTCAATTGTAAACAAAACAGTAATTAATAGAAACCAGTTTCTGGCTCTGGTTAATCTGCAATAACAAAWGCCCTAAAATTAAAGAGACCTATTGATGCCCTGGTACCAAAATACTAGAGAAAAAATTGGCTGTTTTCACAGTTACTTTGGAGTTCCCCAAAACAAGAGATGACCAGATCAAGGGTGTTCCTATTACTCAGCTGATTTAAGCTTTTTAAGTGATTTAAATRAGACACACTGGTGTTTCTTCCGATTGCAGTTCTGACCCTTTCCACAGCAGTGCCATTAAGCAAATACAAAAGCCAACACAAGGTTTCTGATGACGAGTTATCCCAGCTTTTTTGGGAACACGCTTAGAAGAAATCTAAAAAGGTTAAACTAAGGTGAAATTTTCAAAACTGCTTAGTGTAAATGTAACTTTGAAAAGTTAGAGCTGGAATTTTAACTCAGAAAGCCCATCCACATTTTACTGAAGGCTTCAACAAGGGAAGAGAACATGTACTTCCAAGACAGACCRAGTATCCCATTATTTCATCCAGCTGTGATGGAAAAACTCAGTTTATCTCAGCTAAAGGCTTTGGCTCATGAGACTCTGAAATCAGTCCCCATGTTTCACAATAAGTATCACTTAAGCTGAATGGGACCTAAACTGAAATGGTGTCAGCACAAAAGGAAGTTCAAGGGAGTAATTGAAAAATAGTAAAAYTTGGCTGAGGTTGTGTCCCTGTCCACCCCAAGATCTCAGTACATTTGGCTGAGTGTCTGACTCGATCAAACAACCCCATTCCGTTCACTTTTGGCCCCAGCAACACTGACACAGCCCCAGCAGCTGCTGCCTGAAGGGCACAGCTCGGGTGGAGGACAGCAGGGGCAGTGCCTCAGCTCCTGTCTCTGCTGAGTACATTCACAGCAGCAGCTGCTTTTGGTTTCATCAGTGTTACATTATTTGTAAGCACTGTTTATACTGAGCTAGAAAACTTTTTATACTGAGCTAGTAACTTTTGTTACTCTGAGTGCTGAAACTTCATCTGAATCATTCCCTATGATTTCCCAAAAACAACACTATTTTGTTGCACAYTTTTCTATGCTGACAAGTAGAGGCAAATGTGGGATCTTGACTTTTTTCTAAAGATAATTAACTGGTTTTAACCTTGCAAAACAAGGAATTGCCCATTTCAGCACATGAAGCTTCCCCACGAGCACACGTAATCCTACCAACCAGAAAAGGAACAGGGAAGGCAGATTTCAGCAAGTTCTCTGGAGAAAACTCTGCAGCAAAGAGAGCTCAGAGTGATAGGACCTGACATTGACCAAAACTGAACAGTAGGCAACTGACATTTAATAAAAACATTTGGAGCTCTCAGAGGAACAGCACAGCTAGTCCTGACTTTAAAGCACAGTAAGAGTGAAGAGCAGTGTGTCCAAGGACAGACACTGCCAACCTGCCAGGAAATGAACCTGCTGGGCATTACCTAGGTGAGAAAATCCGGCCACTGCCTGCTGTGCCACAGCTATTTATGTCCAAAATAACAGCAGAATTAAGGACAAAGCCTTAAACAATCTCAAGAGGTAGCGTGGGGACTTTTATGTTCCAGCATAAAAGCATTATGCATATTAGCATTCCTCTGTGGCACTTCTTCCCATCAAAGCAGATCACAGCCRAGCTTAAATCCATTGCTTTTGTACTGGACAAGCTGGGAACAAGAGGGAGCTGTACAGAAACACTGTGAACATCACACAGACTGTGTGTAAATGATGTGGTTTGAGAAGGTGTCACCTCACCCAGTTTCCCCACTCAATACTAACAGTCTATTGCTAGTTATGCTTAATAAAAAAGGATGTGCACTCATCAAGATGAAATGCTGTTTTGAGGCTTTATGTGTGACATTTGCCATCTCTGGACTGTAKGAACATTTGTCACTGTTGGATTTTTCTTGCTACCAAGGTGTTTTCATCATAGCACAGATGGAAGAACTGGGAGCCCTCTACTGCAACCAAACTACAGCTTTTTAATTTTTCTTTACTGTAATATGCTTTCTCATGAGGATTCTGCATCTATTAATGTGCATTTCCYGAGTCACCTGGTTAAATGCTGCAACCCTTAAAAATCTACTTTAATATAAAATAAGCTCTTAATTCCATATGTTGTATTGGAGGATGTAGTTTGTATAGATTCTGTAATAAGCATCCTAATGCAAAGGGCTGATCCAAGCAATGAGCTGTGTTACAGAACCAGTGTAGCAGGAACAAAGAAAGGTTCAGTTAAAAGTACACCAGCTTTACCTTTTACTCAAGTATTTCCTGCTGAATGCACAAGAAAATTCCATTTCAAGAACTCAAATTGCCTTTTATTACATACTGGAAATTTTTTTCAAGAGCTTGTGCATACAAGGTTGAAGAAACATGGCAGTGTGAAATACCGAGTGAGTAAGAGCTTGCCTGGCACTCTGCGGTTCCCAGCAGAGCATGTGCTTCCCTTGGAGCTCCTGTGCCTGTGAGCCACAAGAACAGCTCTGCAAAGACACTCTGAACACATTATTTCTTAWATTAACTACATGGACAGCTACAAAAAGTAGTTTTTGCACGGTGTTTAAGTGAATTTTCAGGAATGCTAATTTCATTCTGTGGTGTTATAATCCGTTGGATCTGCTTTCTTGAATTGYAGATTCCATGAGTGTCACAAGAAAAGTGGTGAATTTGAGCATTTACAAAGTGCCTTATAGAAGAACACTTATCTCTACTGCAGTGCTCAGTTTTTTGCTAATTTTAAGAATACTTGTATGTAGYTTCTTTTATATCACAACTATAATGCAACAACAAAAATTCTATGATTCTGTTTTCCACTAGATAAGCGCTAGCACAGAAAACAAGTTCTACTCTACTTTTCTGGACACTTTCATATATATTATGTAGATATTTGGAGCATGTGCATGCTAAATTGTATAAAGAGATTTAAAGTATAAATCTATACCCTTTTGCCAGAACATGAGTTGGAGAAAAAAAAAAAGAAAAAAAGGCAAATGAAGTAAATAGATATTGTCTTCCTGGTACTCCAAGACTATATTGCGCAATATTGTTTTCCAAGCTCACTTCATATCGATAAGAGCAATTCTGTTCAGGTTTTTTGATCCTCAGATACTGTCAGAGATACTGTGACAGGTGCTTTTGGAATGGTTACTCCCAGCAGGGCATAAATTAAGCTTCCAGATGTATTTCATTTTGGATATTAGGAAGCTCAACCACTTATAACTTTTGCCACTAACAAGTTCAACCCATGCAGCCCTAGATTTCAGGAATTCTTTACCTTTTTTTCCAAAGCCTCAAGACCTGTAAAGAAAAAAGGATGTTAACAGAGGACTGTTTTAATCGTGTGCCCTCCATCTCAAATACCCTTGAAACCCTTTACTCCTTTATTGAAAGAAACGGAATTATCTGGGAGTTCTGACTTAATGATGAGCWTTGCATTTAACTCTTCTTCCTCTGGGACCAAATGACAGTAATTCCTCTAACTACAGTGTATTAGATTTCAGGCACATCTGTCTGAAACTGGAAATGTTACATGAATTCTTCTAATATGAACAAGCATCTTAGGCAAAGAGATATCCTCCATAGCCACAACAGCTAGATTCCTTCCAAAGTGAGTTAAAGTGGCAATACTATTACTGAAAATAATAACGAACACTTTGTGCGACATATTTATTTTTCAAGGTCAATAAATAAATGTAATTATACAAATTTGGAAAAGTCTTAGTAACAGAATGTTTTTAAACAACATTCTGGCTTAAAGTCTCCTTTACTGACACTACTGGAATAGTTTCTCATCTACTTAAAGTAGCTAAGTCATTATGTTGGTGATCCTCCACCACATTAATTTGTTTGAAGAAATTAGGCTGCTGCAAAGGAAAAAAAGACATCAACCTTTGCTTTGACATAGAAAATTATCTGAACTGCATACATTTAGTATTAAAATTACTTGTCTGGGCATGACTTTTCTAGAGAAGGTATTTTTAAATATACAGTTTACATATTAGAGACCTCCTACTGTTCATTACTTCATCGTTATAAAAGGGAAATTGTAACAAAAGTGGAAAAAAAACAGAAGAGAAAAAGGCATGGAAGAAAAGTGATACAAATTGGCCCTTTTTGTTAGTAAGACATTCTTCCTTTATCTAGTTTTCATTCTAGGTTGGTAACAGATGTGTGTGATGACTGGTTGCCATCAGTGCAGCAAGTCTGCCTGAAATAATTGCAAAGTGGCTTTTGATCAGTGGACTTCTGTTAGACACCCACTTCTATAGATATTCTCCAACCACCTGAAAGCAGGAAAGTCATATTCCACCTGGCTGCCTTAGCTTGCCCAGGTTATTCTGTGTGAACACTAAGGCTTAGAGCACAGACACATAACTTGTCCAGGAGAAGTAGCCTTTTTCAAAAGTATCTACAAATTGCTAAATAGAAATTTTTATCAAAAGGTTCAGCAAGAAGGTAATTGTTATTGATTTAATGGAAGTGRAGGAAGATTTGTGGTTCCCTCAAAATTCATCAAGTGTTCTGTTTCTGCATTCCATAAATACTACAAGACACAACATGTTTATTTGGTTCCCATAAATTAGAAAAATCTGGTTTCCAAAAATTCTAAATTAGTGATTTAAAAAACAAAATATTAACACCTGACCACCTTTCAAACCATCCCAGAGAGCAGCTTCACTCCTCTCTCCCCCTTCAGAAGTGTGCTTTTTTAAGAATATATGATTTATAAAACAAACAAAAAAGTGTGTTTTTAACTACAGTACACTTGCTTAAATATACAAGTGGACACATTAATGTCATGTTAAAGTTCAAGGTACTTCTGGATAAAAGGCAGATAGTTATTTTAACTCTGCATTCTTATATAGAATAACGATTATTATAGACTTTAGTTCCCTCTCATCATTCATCTATCATATGGAGAGGTCAATAAATAAAAGCTTATCTGGTCCAGTTTACCTACAAGAGAAAAAAAAAAGTAATAAAAGAAAAAGAAGTTACCTATAAAATTACTTGTTTAACCCTGATAACATCTGAGTTGCCATACCCAGTTTGTTGTCGCAAGAAAAGCAAATGGTATCTTGCTTTTTAACAAATGCCCCATTTTATATGACAATTTCTGTATGCTGCCTATCAAGTCACACATTCTTGGGGCAAGAAAGCTGGCCAGGAGATGCAGTGATAGCAGTAACAAGTATAAATCTGGGTTCAAGAAAAGAACATACCAGATCCAGAAGCAAAGAAATCTGGACACACTGAGGAGGCAGTGCCCAGCTGTTATTTGGGCTCTTGTGTCGTGGAGACTATACCCAGCCTAAGATATAGTTTCATACCATGGAAGTAACACAGAACTTCATTGTGCTCGTGTACAGACTTCAGGAAAAAGTCTTACACAAAATGAATTACCTCCTTTGTTTAGTCGAAGATAAAATAGCTTACTAACTGATGTAATGAGTAATGGATGTCACTATGACACAGGACTTGCCATGAGTTGTGTGTTCAGCTACAAGGTGCAGTATTTCTTATGACTAACTCAAAGCACAGCCGCATCCAACTGTGATTTGGAATTCCCTCTTGAGCAGCACGCACTATGACTTTGAAGGAAGTCAGTCTGATTGTAACAAAGTCATCCATCCTCTCTTGGAACATGAACAAAATCCATGGGGTAATCAGGCACAGGCGGCATGTAACAGGTTTGTCTTCCTTTTTACTCCTTGTTTTTGCTTCTGAGGACACGCACTTGGCTCCAGACGGAATCCATTTGCTGTTACAAGAGAACACAGCTGTTCTTCTCTTTCTCCCTCTCCTTCTCTCGAGGCTCTTTGCGTTTGCGTTCRTTACTCCCGGATTGTCTTGCGCTGGCTGGAGAGGCAGCACCTTGTACCTGCTGTGTAGGGAAAATTACATGGGAAATAAACCCAGCACTACTGCAGATACAGCCTGAACTATTAGGGTACRGTCCAGTTCTCAACTAGAAAGTTTACGTTTTATGCAAACCAGCAGAATTCAGGTAGGGGTATTTGGTGTACCTACTGCAGGACCTCCACAGCACTGCATGTTTCTTGAAAATTAAGTTACCTGAAAATATATTTCAAATTCCACATGTCCCTTCCTCTTGTGTCCACATATTTCAGATCAGTTGTTTCAATAAAATATGGTTTCAAGCATTTTCTGGCACTTCTGTGTTATTGTACTGGAATTTTTTCTTAGTTTCTTTTGTAAGTACATAATCCACATTTCACTGTATTTCACTGCAGARTCAAAGTGCTGGTGTGGACAGCAAGCTAATGGTAAAGCAACAGCTTTTTGTAACTAGAAACTCTTTYGTAACTTGGAAAGGGGGTTGGTAGACAAAGGCTACATAAGTTTTGTTAATTCATCATCTGTTCCCACTGTTATCCATTCAYAGCTGCAAATGGGCAGGCTCTTAGTCCTGTTGAGCAGGTTCTTCAGCTCCTTCTACCTTTGGCAGCCAGCAGTAATGAATATGTCTTAGGAGTAGCTACTGCTGGTGCTACTGCACAAGCAGTGCAAATAACACAACTTTTAACTGTCAAAAKTGTTTCATGCTTAACAACTTATCAGTTCATCAAACAATTTATCAGTTCTGAATTGCTTCAGGCCAAAGATGCAGGCTTTATATAGATTATTTTTTACCTATTTGTACATGGAAGCAGTTCTAAAAGTTCTCAGGGGTTAAGAGCTCTATAAATCTAAAATACCAACTTAAATATTGCCTCTTGTACAGAACATTCAGTTAAATTGCATTTTTGCGTAAAYGGGTGTATGAATCACATTTTCAAAGCATTTTGAAATCAGCTGCTTAAGGAAGTGGCACTGGGAGAAACTGTTAATTGCGTAGTTTGGAACAACTGAATAGATTCACATAAGATTACAGACTGCATCACCTAAAAATGTACAGCAACAGACTCCTGCGAGACAAGATAAAGACAAAACTTCAACTACTATCAAAAAGTTCTTATTTGAATGCTTGTTTGCAAGCAGTGTAAAATACTGTAATACCATCTTTGTAACCTGACATGTACTCATCCCATGGTTCCGACTTAAGCATAAATGAAACCCTTAAGTACAAATGAAACCCTAAATTAGAAGATTGAGCCTGCTTTAAAGTATTTGCTTGCAACTGCTCTATCTACATGCATACGTTAATAAGTGTAGCATATTCCTAAAGATTTCTGTATTCACCTCAGACTGAAACATGCACAAGCACAGATGTGTCTATGCAATTATTAATACTTTCTAAAATTTGTGATCATATTCTGTGGTGCTGTTTTCTTACCTGGACCTGAGCAGCTGCTTGTTCTTGTTCCTGATAGTATTGAGAAGCTCTCCTGTCCTCCTCTTCCTGGAGCTTCTTTGCTAGCTCTAGATCACTGAGTCCTTCTGGGATCTGTTCCCAGTTAATCTCTTGATTCTGCTGCTCTTGTTGTAGAGACAATGCCATCAGATAATCCTAAACAGTAAAGTTGTTTATTAACGCTCTTTCACACAGAAAAAGAAGTCCTATCAAGTGAATTTTTCAGCCTGTGCAGCTACACAGTACCATCACTTTTCTCCCAGCTTTATCTTCAAATATAGAACAGTAATTTGTTTCAGAGCCTGTACATAACCTCACTGCAGAAAGGCTGAGAACAGCTACTTTACATGTCTGCTTTCACAATGCCTAAGCTGCAGCACAGCAAACACAAAAACTAATTAAAAAAATTGCTTTCAGGTTTAAACTTCATTATCTGGACAGAAGTAAATTATCTCTGTCAGATTTTTATTGTGAGACACAGATGCAGTGCTTCAATTTATTATGGAGCATCTTATTAATTTTTCCCCTGTATTTTAAAAACATGAATGGTGATTATTATAAACTTATGCTTGATCACAATGTAAGATTTCCAAGGAACTTGGTCTTGCTCTGTACTTACGCATTAACTGGTACAACTCAGCCCCACCCCAGGCATGACTTCTGCAAACTCTGCTTCTCATTAAGAATAACAAATGCCCACCACAACTCAGATCTGCTGTGGGGTTTGTCCTACATTCAGCCAAGTGGGCAGCAGAAGACAAAGTCTAGCTATGACAATATTAATGAGCTGAAGAGAGTTTGTTACGTAGGAAGAAATTCCACAGTGTGYTTCTGTTTCCATATGCAAGGCACAAGTGACATCTGAGCGAAGATTTTGCAGAAGTRGATTCTGAGAGATTAAAATCCTATTTTTCAAACTACTCAGTTGGTCTTACTTTTCCTCCTTCCAAACCAAGCAGTTTTATAGTCACACATATGCATGAGTATACACTCACACACATCTGTGGAATTATACATAAATATGACTAAAAATGAGTACTAATTTACAGTGGAAAGGCAGAAATCCAGTACCTGATCTATTTGATCCTGCTGCCCTCTGTAGACAGTTTCAGGGTCTGATGGAGGCCGTAGGTGGAATTCAGAGTCACAGAAATTTCCATCACCATCCACATTGTGTAAGCTTTCCCACACAACCTTCTCTTCTGTAAGAAAGCCCTGGTCTGTCACCAGCAGGTAAAGCTGACCCTATACAGAAGAAAAAAGAAAGATTGTAAAACTAAAAAAAAAAAAAAAATTTTTACAATCTAAGTAGCAGAAATAATACAAATGATGCATTCCAACAGAACATTCATTTAGAGTTTTTAGAAAGTTTAATAATTAAATGAAACAGCATACAGCATTAAACCACCAGATACTAGTATTCACTGCTAAATTAACAGTCACACAATTTCTGTATTCCATCTTGCAACTCTTCATTCTTAATGGAAGTTCATATTGACTAGAAATTAATATAAAACATGAATATATATATATATGAATGAATATATGAATATATATCAAGCTATCTACCTTGATAGCTCTTTAGAAACATACCTAAGAAGTATACTTAATAACTGGCAATGAAAACTTTAAATCGCTGGACCAATCACATTAAATTCCAAAGGCAAGCTATGGAGACAAAGGTGATCTTTCCAAACAATCCAAGAGGCATTACCTCAAAATGGCCACATCTCAGACTTCATGTGTCATAATGAGTTTTGACAGAATTTGAGGTTTGTGTCAATTGAAAGCTCTAAATTTAAGATTCTTGCTATCACTTGTCACTGATAACTGCTTCTCTTGGCATGTTAGTATTTTTACTGTTTCCTAAGGCCAAATTTCTTGATTCAAAGTCTGAAATTATAAAATGGGCTGGTCTGGAGTGAAGGAGACAATGCTAACAAATGCAGATACCAAGGAAAGATGAAATGTAAGCTTAGGCTGAAGGAGTAGGAGAGGAGCTAAAACCAAAAGGAAATGACCATAGTAGGCCCCAAGTAAAAGGAGATGGTGCTGCACATTTGAGGGACAGGAAAGCAGCACAAAATACTCCTGCTTAAATTTCCATTTAAATCCCTCCACTCATCTCATCCTACTTTTTCTATCATGTTTTTGGAATCAATAATGTTATTACTGCCCATACAGCACACGAGGACTGAAGCTTCAATTACTATTACTCAATGTACCAGATCAGGATACTCAATACAAAACTTGCAGCAGTGGTTTAGCTGTAAAAATCAATGCAGTTTATTGTGATATCCACAAAAATTTGCTGTTTATATTACAGCAGCACACAAAGGGTTCTTACAGATCACTGCACTGAACTTGTACCACCAAAGCAAGAGGCAGATCCTGACCTAATGATTTCTAACGCTAAAAATGTTAAGAAATTGTCCATATTCAACAGATACAGAAGGAGCTCCCTGGATTCTCTGAAGTCATTAAAGGACTGTCTAAGGGAGATGCTGAAATTCCAGTCAGATCTTGTCAATCCCACTCTGTTTACAGCCACCTCTCCTGGGGCTGGGAGGTCACTTGATAAAACAAAAATATTACTTGAAAACTCACATACGGCAATTACTCCAATATTACCTAATACCAAAACATGCACTTATACACAAGGCCAAAAAGAATAGATAAAAAACCCAAACCAAAACCAAACAGATAACACTATTGTATATTCAACAGTGTTATATTCAAGCTTTGAAATGGGAGTTTAACCAGCACAGGAGGCCATACAGACATAAATACAAATGTCAGCAACAAGTCTGATCACATCACATGACCTAAGAAATCACCTTTCCCTTGGAAACCTAAGAACTGAATGATACTCCTGACACTTAAAAATCACCCAAAGAAAATAAAAGGAAGTAATTTCGCAACATTTTCAGTTTGCACAGAATACCTATTTCATAGCATTTTGCATAGAAGAAGTCTTCAAAAAGATGTAAAAAAGAGAATATGTTAGCATTTTTCCTATTACCAAACTATTATAACCATAATTTTTACACACACAAATATTAAGGTGTATCATTGCCTTTATGGATTTAGAATCTAGTATCTGTCATCTAAGGATGGATTAAAGCTAACACTTGCTTAATAGAGACCTTTTTCAGATCCTAAATAAAATCATATTCTTACTTTGTAAGAATTCCTTAGTTGAACATTGACTGTAAAAATGTCATGTTAGAGTAAATAATAAAAAATGAATGGAACACAGCTTCCTAATGAAAGGCAATAAACTGCATTAGATTATCACCACATTACCTAAACACCACCACTGCAATTCCAATACCAACTGAATAGCTTAAAACATTCTGCTTCACTTGAATAAAGTTTAGCAAACTGAATGCAGGCTCCTTAGTACCTGATAAGAGACAGAGTTCCGGTTCACATTATTGGAATGAAAAAACAATGGGAAATCACAGATCAGAGATCCAAAGTCATCTTTCCTTTGTTTTTTACCAAGTTCTCTGATCTCTACATCACATTAGTATCATTAAATTGAATGCCACAAAAAACATGCCCCAAAACAACCAGGACCCTTATAATACTGCTAATATTCATAGAGCTTTTGGTAATAGTTTCATATATAAAGTAAGAGGACTTGGCTCTTTTGCTACGAGGGGTAATGCAGCCTCTCATCATGGTTTTGTTCCTCCTACCTGCAACAAGAGAACAGAAGCCCTATCTACAGGCTGGCTTTTAGGCTCAGCTTTAATGCCAGGCGTGTTCCCTTCCCAACGCTACAGGCACAGGCCACCTTCACTGGAACAACAAGATTCCAGCGAGGAGATCCTGTGATAGGAGAAAAACCCTTTTATCCTCTGACCTTGAGGCCGCCTCGGAAGCGGAGCCGCACTGAGCAGGGCCGCGCCTGGTGCCCGGAAGCAGCCGCCCTTCCCAGGCACTTCCCAGCCCCCGGGCCGAGCCCGAGCCCGAGCCCGGCTGCCAGAGCCACAGCCCCGGGGAGCGCAGCTCTGCTGGGACCGGGCACGGCTGAGAACGGGGAACGGCTGGGGACGGGGTACGGCTGGGGACGGGGCACTGATGGGGACCGGGCACTGATGGGGACCGGGCAC